TGCTCCAAAGATGGGAGCGTRACTCACCTGTGGACGCCAGCCTTTTGCAAGACTTGTCTTGGGGCTCATACTCCCAAATTCTCCCCATGAACCTTAGGGCATTACAATGGCAGATCTTGCACCGTTGTCTCCCCACGCCGGACTGGCTCGTGTCGAAAACAGGCCTCGAGCAGAAAGGCTTACTGTCTCCCATTTGCGCCTGCTGTGGCAGGTTCACGCAGCCAGCCAGAGCAACCTTGGAACATTGCCTGCTGGCTTGCCCAATGGTTGCTCAGATATGGAGGTGGTGGCTTTTCACCACATGGCCGGCTTCCACATCCCCTGGGACGTTGGCCTTCTCCTGCTCAACAGAAACCAGAACCTGATGAAACTATGGACCCCCTTCGCTATTAACCTCTTTGCCTATATGAGGCTGCAGGTGCTGATGCTGGCCTGGAGAGCTAGGTGCTCCTTTAAGAGAAAGGACCACCAGTTCGGGCTACAACAGGCACAACAGGCGGTTGAAGAAGTAATTAGAACCCGGACCGACGAAGCCTGGAAGGAAATGCAACGACACTGCCTCAACGAGAAAGAACCCACGGCCAGACAAGCCCTCCGCGACTCTTATCTCCAAAACTGGCAGGACCCCAATCATACCTTTTCTGAGTTGGATGATGGGATTCACATACACTGGAAACCCTGGAGAGCAACAGAGTCCGTCTGGCAAAGAAGACCGCTGGGAGACTTCTGTGTCCCATACCTCCCAACCAACTTCGTCTTACTCCCGACCCCTCCGAACTAACTTCAGCTTGAGCTATGCTATGATGTGCCCCCCCGCTCCTTCCCCTTCTCCCCCTCCCTTCCCCTTCCCCCCTCATCCACTTATGATTGACTCAGAAGACAACAGAAGTATTGTGGATCATCAGCTACAAAGGGACAAGAGTGAGGCCGGACAGACACGACACCGGCTGCCGGAAGAGCTGTACAATCGTGGGTGGCCAAGAGGAGACAGCATGCGTTCGTGTCTGCAGAGACTGAGATGCACCTACGATGAACAGTAGCAGATTGAGGCCCGGACGACTCTATCACTCTGTCGCTCTGGGGGGCTACCTGGGGATCTGGTGCTCACAGCAGTCAAAGTGTTAAATGTCTGAGTTTAGAAGCTAGATCAACGACAAAGAAGACAGCTGGGAGACTTTTGTGTCCCATACCTCCCAACGAACTTCGTCTTACTCCCGATCCCTCCGAACTAACTTCAGCTTGAGCTATGCTATGATGTGCCCCCCCGCTCCTTCCCCTTCTCTTCCTCTCTTCCCCTTTCCCCCTCATCCACTTATGATTGACTCGGAAGACAACAGAAGTACTGTGGATCATCAGCTACAAAGGGACAAGAGTGAGGCCGGACAGACACGACACCGGCTGCGCGAAGAGCTGTACAATCGTGGGTGGCCAAGAGGAGACAGCAAGCGTTCGTGTCTGCAGAGACTGAGATGCACCTACGATGAATAGTAGCAGCTTGAGGCCCGGACGACTCTATGACTCTGTCGCTCTGGGGGGCTACCTGGGGATCTGGTGCTCACAGCAGTCAAAGTGTTAAATGTCGCAGCCAGGAGGCTGCGCCTTGTGTGGTTTGCATTTCGTCGTTTCGTGTCCTTTCCATTTTGGGTAATGTCGTGCAGTACGGCGTTGCTAGGATGGATCCGTTTGGGGTTTCCGAAAGCAGAAAAAGGGTCCGTCATAGGGCAGGTTAGCTTGTCCAGCTCGTTCGAAAATCAGCATAAGGCGCCATCCACAGTTTCCCTTTTCAGGGGTGGCGTTTTTTCCCGTTTCAAAATAGGGGCGGACGATTTGGGCCTGGGGCGTTTTTGCTTTTGTTTTTTTTTCCAGTTTGAACTGCATCTCCCAACAAATATGGGAAGCATTCATATGTTTACTGCTATGAAGTATTGAAAAACAAGAAGGGAGTGCCCTGCCTTGTTGGCAGGGCTTACTAAAGGAAAAGGCAAAAAAGAGCTATCGAGATCTAGGGCCTCGCTCCACGACTCACCGAATGTGAAAAATGAGAATGAATAGTCCTGTAGAACATGGGTAGATACATGTCAAGTAGTTCAGAGGTTGAATTTTTTTTTTTCTTTTCTTTTTTTCTATACTCTTCTCTCAACTTCTGTTTCTTTACCTTCCACTACCTACTCCTAAGACTATCTACAGGGGACCCCTGCAAGCATAGTTTCCTCTCTCTGTGAAGGGAAGATTTCATGTTGCCCCTTGCCCCTTAGGGTATAGGGTTGGGGCCGCTAGTGGGGGTCTGGCTAACACAAAGACCGAGACCTGCCAGTAGCTGTGCCTCCCTTTCTCATCGTCCCCCACCCTTCATCGAGTAGCAACAGAGGCTATGGGCAACACTCTCCCACACACCACACACAACCCACTTGCACTCACACTCACACCCGTGTTGGTCATAGACCCCGCTAATACTGATCAGGGGTATCCAGAGGACTATCTGTTTTTTTTTTCGGAAGAAGAATGTCTTCTGTTTCTCACGTGACTCCGCGTGAGAGAAGGGGGGAGCAATCTATGGGCCTCGTGCAAAATGAGAACCAATTTTCCGCTAGAACATGGAAAGATACACGGCAATGATTTGTGTCTTTTGGGCATGTCGAGAGTAGCGGGAGGACGCCCTATTGCTTTGTCAACCCCCTTCTTTTCAAGGCATTCTCACGCAGCCCTGTCCACAATCCCCGTCTTTTCAAGGCATTCTCAGGAACCCCTGTCCACAATGCATCTGACTGTACCTCTGGCCAGGCATGAGGTGGTACGGCAAGGCCTCAGTAGCTTGCTATTCATTTTTAAACTTTTTCTTTTTTTTCCTTTCCTTTTTTTTTTTTTCTCTCTCTCTTTTTCTCTCTCTCTTTTTTTT